ATTTTAAATAAATAAATCAGTGATGAATCTTTGAAAAAAAAAAAAAAAACTAGTTGTGGGTGGCTTGCTCAAGGTCACAGGGCACATGTACAAGCCAGGATTGAAAAAGGGAATACAACCCTATCATGAAAACAGCCCTTTTTAGGATACAGAAGTGGGAGTTCTAGGCACGGTAGGACCCAAGCTCCACTTTGTGCCAAGCACGACTGGGAAATGTGGAAACCTGGCATCCAGACAAGTGCTTGATTATCTTAAGTCTTGGTTCTTGGCTCTCTCTGCTCTCAGTTCATCTGGAGGGCTGTTATGAACTGCTGATGCACAGACCCCAAGCCAGGTCACTTGGTCAGAATGTCAGGAGGGAGTGGAAGCAAGGCTTGCTATATTTTTAGCGATGATTTCATTAGTAGCCAGCCTTGAGAAAGAATCATGGCCCCATGGATCTGCTTCTATGCTGGCAAAAGGTGTGGACAAAAAATGAAAACCTAGTTACACAGTCAGCTCTCTAATTGTGTTGGGAAGGGTGATAACGAGCATCGAATGCCTGTGGTGTAAAAGCTCAACATATATGTGGTGTCTCAGTATGCCCTTACCTTGACCTCTGCAGTAAAGTGTTACGTCAAGTCGCCTTGTCCCCTACCGTTTGTAGGACACAGCAGGAGAGTGGGGAGGCAGGTTTTTGCTGTATCCTTTTCAAAGTTGTTATCTCAAGCAAGTTAGGTAAAATCTCTGAAGCTCAGTCTCTTATACAATGAAATGTATTGTGCGTAGCTTACAGACTGCATATTCACAGTAGGACTGCAGTGCCCCCATGGGGGTAGAATAGGTTCTTCGGGGGAGCAACAGGATGGTACTTTAAAGCAAAGTATACATGTGCATGCTTGTATAAACATTAAAAGTATATCTGTGACATTGAAATTCTGTGAAAGTGGTAGCAGTTACAAAAAAATATTCTGAGGTGGCTTCTTAGGGTAGTAGATAATGACAAAATAGAAGCTGAGAAATATTGGTGCAGATTGGTGTCGGCACAGGGCTGGAAAAGGATGCATCAGCTGCAGCCCTTGGCTCAGAGAGCAGGAACCACTCAGTCCATAGTAGGTGTTGCTCCCATTATCTGCCCAATCATCCATCCAACTGATTCCAAGCATGTTTCGGGATTATGAAAAGCTGTGATGGCTTACAAAGCAAGAAAAGGCAGCACTCTGACTTCCCCAGTGAGTTAAATCCCAGAGAAGCACCAGAGTCGAAGAACCATCAGGAAAGGATGCGGACAGAGCCTGGGAACACACAAGAAAATAAAGTCTTTTACTCCTACTCCTCTCCACTGCTGGGCTCAGCCAGATCAAGAGGTCGCCAGAGTCCATTGTTCTCAATTCGCACCTTTGCACGTGGCCTCCTGAGCTCACAGCGGGGGAGACAATCATTGGCCATCACTAGAACCTTCAGGAGAATAGCCAAGTAAAGTGGAAACATTACTGTTGGTCTCCCATGTGGAGAGGTATTCTGTTCATTGTAGAAAGTAGCAATGAATGAAGAATTCAACTGGATTTCTGCTCCATGCTCCCATTGGGAAAATAGATAGTAAGTCAACATAATGGTTAAGCATGATAATAAAGGGCCCTGTAGCTGCAGTCCTTGGCTCAGAAGCTCTATCTACTGGAAGCTCTAGAGACTCCCGGGAGAGGGAGTAAGTTGGGGGAGGGTGAAGAAGGTGGGACATGCCCTCTGCAGAAGAATGATATAACGGAGAGGTAAAATGGTGGGCATGAGAGGTGTCAGCTGAGTAAGGTATGGTGTGAAGGCAGAGTCAGAAAGTTTGACTTAATGGCTTGGATGCTAAGCATTATTTTTCAGTGAGAAGCTGCGCCTGTTACCTGCTTGCAATGGGACAATCCAAGCTTCCTGTAAGGAGTGAGGGATTTGGGGTTTGGGGCTCAGGGCCACACATGGCCTGGACCCAGCTTTCCTCCTGCTTCTTGCTTTCTCCTTGGCTCTGTGTCAGTCTTACTGGCTTCTTTCAGTTCTCTGGATGCCACAAAATCTTTGTTCATGTTATGGTCTTTTCTGCAATAGGTTCCCTTTTATTTAAGAGATATGGATTTATGCCTGTCTTCCTTATTTTACTTTAAGTTAGGAATTATCCTTTTGTCTCCAGCATTAAAACCTCGGCATCTAGAGTGATGTTTGTTCTCACTAAATTTTCTGAGGAAGGGAGGGAGGAAATTTAACTGGGAAACTAGAACTCACACCAAGTTGTGTATTTCCCATTCCTTCCCAACTTCGACTGCCTTTTTGATCCTGCCCAGGGACTAGGGCTAGAATTTTCATGCTGACACTTGAAGCAGCAAGTTCCCAGAGGACCTTGTCAATTTAGTAATCGGCCTCCAAAGGGTAAATTCTGATTGTGAATAACAGTTAAAGTAACCTTGATGTGTTTCTGTATATGCCTTGCCAAAACTGAAAGCTAGACATGCCCAGTCAATCCTGGCCACCAAGATGATCAAAGGAAACAAGCATGATCCGAGAACTGCAGACTCCCCAGGGTCCACTTGCTGTGGAGCAGACAGCCTGAAAGCTAACTTCATCGAGCAAAGGCTGAGGCTCTGATGCAGAGTGACCACAGGTAGCACCAGGCAACAGTGCCTCTAGGGTGGTGGCTATGCTTGAGGATGATGGACTGGCACCTGGGGCATTCGCCTGGGTTCTGAGAGGATCCCAGGAGGGTTGTGTTCAACAGGAGGTGTTGTCTCTTAAGACCACGTAGTGGTGAAAGCCATGTGGACCAGGCCTCAAGTCTTGGTTTATCAGCTACCAACTGTGTATCCAGGATACTGATCTGGTCCTTGCCAAGCACCAACCTTCCCTATGTATTGTAGGGGAGGAGATCAAAATAGAGTTTCATTCATTTTTTTTTTCTGTGAAGATGACAACATTTGTGAAATGTTGGGTACCTAACTTCACATGTGCCAAGCACTCAAACCGCCTCGGCCATTCTCAATCATCTGCCGGTGTGATCATTACCCTCATCGCCCCAGAATTGAGAAATTCATACAACTTTAACAGCATACTAGGGTGTAAGTAGATATTGTCGCTAAAAAATACACACACAAAAAGTTCCTAGTAGCAACATTTTAAGAACCTTGAAGAAGAAATATCCCAGGAGTCCAGTGAAAATGGGACAGACTGAATATTAGCATGCAGTGAAGTAATGGGCAGTAACTAGTGATTCCACACATAACGTGATTACTGGGTAGTGGGTGGAGTCTGAGACCTTACCTTGCAGCCATAATGCATGGCTTTTTGTTTAAGATTTATTTATTTTTATTGGAAAGGGAGCTATACAGAGAGGAGAGAGAAAGATCTTCCATCCAGTGGCTCACTCCCCAAGTGGTCTCAGTGGCTATAGCTGAGCTGATCCTAAGCCAGGAGCCAGGAGCTTCTTCTGGGTCTTCTGCAAGGGGCAGGGTCCCAAAGCTTTGGGCCATCCTTGACTGCTTTACCAGGCCACAAGCAGGGAGCTGGATAGGAATTGAACCGGTGCCCTTATGGGAACCCAGCAGATGCAAGACAAGGATTTTGCCACTAGGCTTCTGCTCTGGGCCCACAGCCACGTTTTAATGCAACAAACTCTAACATGGATCAAAACAGATCAGACCTAAGAATGTCATATTTAATGATTCTGTTTACGTGAAAGGAAAGCTGATCTGTGGCATTTGAAATCAACTGAGTGTGGTCTTTATGGAGGAGGGTTGTACTCAGAAAGGGAGTGAATTGGGTGCTGGATTAGGTGTTTATTTGTGAAAATGTGTTGTTGAGTTGTTCATTTTTATGTGTGCACATTTCTCTATTATGCTTTTATCAAAGAGTTACTAAATGAGCTGTTCAGTAAAGTTGAAAGTCAAATAATACAATTCTGTAGTTATGTGTGAGGGGCCTTAATATCAAAGGCAGACAGGCAAACATGGTACAAAATACAGTGTATTCTGATACCCATGATGACAAACATTGTGTGGCAGGTGAGAAAGCATCATGGGGGTCATGGGGGGCTGTCACTGCATCGGAAGTGGTGGTGCCCAGTGTTGCATGCAGCTAGACAGGTTTTCCCTCTGCCCTCCCGTGCATGACTCAGGTGTAGAAATGCCATCCCTGTCTCCTCACTCCCCATATCACCATCACTGCCACCACTGCCTTCATCTGAAAAGGCATCATTGGCACAATTTGAAACAAGTGTTCCTGACCAACCTTCTTGTCCTTCCCCAGATAACTAACTGTCTGTAATCCAGATCTATTGAACTAGAACCTTTGGATGGGGCTTTCTGGAGTTTTCGAGACTTCCCCTTGTGATTGCAATCCTGGATCTAGAACATGCAGTGGACCTTGATTCCTCCACAATGAATATAGTCCTGGCTACCGGGAAGCAGGCTTTCTCATTTTTTCAGTTTGTCTGCCAAGGGCATTTTCAATTTTATCTCCAGTCTTTTCTACATCCCCATCCTCCCTGTCCCATTTCAAATCCACCTTTGATTCAAGGACACTGTGTTAATTCTTTTCTTGAATCTGACTTGTTACATAGCTTAGCCTGGACTGTGCCCCATCCTCTCAAGGGTGGGCTAATGTCCTGCTCATCACCAGGGCCCAGTTCAATTGCTGCCTCCATGAACCTGCCCTCAAGGCTTTGAGCACTCTGAGCTCATTCCCTCCCATATCCCTCTACAATGTCTGACTGTCTACCCTGCCCCCAGCCTGGGAAGGACCTTGACCACCTCATTGATTAGAAACTGTCTAGAACATGACAGGTGATTCTGGAGGTATCTTGGTTGAGTGGATTCCATCAGCACCAAGTTGCTTGGGTCCAGGGGGTTTGTGAACGGTCAGTGGGTAGCACCTGCGGAGCTGGGCTGGGGCGTAGTGAGGTGGCCCATGTTTTCCAAGTCAGATTTCTCAAGGGCTAAATCACGCAACCTGCTCATGCTTTCGCTGTTGTTGTGTTTGCTTTTCCTCAGTGACCTTCAGTGACTGCAAGGGAAATGAGAAGCTCCACTATGAGGTCTCCAGCCCGTACTTCAAGGTGAACAGCGATGGTGGCTTAGTGGCCCTGAGGAACATAACTGCAGTGGGCAGGACTCTCTTCGTCCACGCACGGACTCCCCATGCTGAAGACATGGCAGAACTTGTGATCGTTGGGGGGAAGGACATCCAGGCCTCCTTGCAGGTAACACAGCTACTGGGGATCGGTCGGATCTGGGAAGAATCACTGGGCTCTGCTGTCTGATGTGGAAAATGGATTTTTCCTTCATCATGGTCGAGATCATGTTTCCATAAATGACAGAAACATAATAAGAAAAAGGTGAAGGAGGTGCAGTGGGGGTTTCTGGCTTGTCTAATTCACGTGTTTCAGTGTCAGCTCTGTGTTCAAGCATAGCTGTGTGCCTGCACCCAAATGATGACAGCAGCTTTGAGCTACATCCTCCTCTTGGTTCCATTTCCCTCTATGCCAACCTCACAGTCAGAGTCCTATGTCTCCCTACCACCCAGGGTGCAGGTCTCATCTGTCCAAGTTCAAGTCCCCTTAGGAAACTCTTCTGCTGAGGTCAACAGATGCTTGATATGAAATCTCACGGGGTTGTGTGGCCATCCCCGAGGTGTTCACTGTTTGTCCATTGGGTATAATGCTCAGGTTATCCAAGGGTGGGCCAGAGTCCAGTCAACCCCACCCACCTTAAAACAAAATGTGAGAGTGACAGAAGGGTAGTTACCCCACAGTCAGTGCAGGTGCCACTGTCAGAGGAAGTGACGTGTACTCTAGAAAGGCAAGAACCAGAGTGGTGTGGCCTGCTCCCCTGCCCTGTACCAGAGCCTGTTCCCTTCCTCATGCTGAACCCTGCACTGCAGCATATGCATTTACATTGTGAACACCAGCAGCTCTCACTCGTGCTCACTGGACTTTATGTAACATCCGATTGTTTTTAGCAGAAAATCACTCTGGCTTCTTGATTAAGGACCTAACAGAACAAGGACAATGACAGTTGTGTGCCCCTGGTATGGTGTGCCTAGCTTTTTCTCCTGTATGCTGGCCTGTTGTTCCTCAACTCTTCAAAACTTCATTGCCTGTCTCCATCTTGCACTTGTTTTGACTGCTGATACTGTTTGAGAGTGAAGTGGATGCAGTTCCCTAGCTGGAGAGCAGAGACATTGCAACTGGCAATGGAAACATTGCCTTCCTGCCATGGTCTTGAGAGAGAATCACTGAACTCCTTTATCTGAGAACTATAGGGGTTACAGGGTTGAGAAGACTCCTGTGTGGCCCAGGTGCTGCCGCTGTGGTCGCCATGTTCATGCAGGAACTGGTAATCACTGCAGGCCGGGTCTGAATGTCTTCCCAGTGTGGTACTTTCAGACCCCACTGTTGATCTGGAGTTGTTTCCAGGGCTGGAATCCATTTACCATGCCTGGGCCAGAAGAATTCTGTGACTCCCCACTGTATCTGTGACTATCAGTTCAGGTTAGATCATAACCTCCAAATGAAACCAAAGCAAGTCACCAATGTTTTCTAAGAAAACTTGGAACTCAACCTAAAATTCAGAATGGAAACCCATTGGCACCACACAGACCAGCTTTTCTCTTACTTAGACTCAGCCATTTTCACAGTATCTTGATAACTTGAGAACCAGTTGGCAAAAACTGAAAGCACCAAAACTGCCAGAATGTGCTATCTGGTAACTGGTAAATAATATCGGATCCATGGAGAATGAGGTGTGTGCAATGGAATCTGTTTAGACAGACAGTCCTTCTGGCAGTAACTCACCTTGTGTCTGGAAAAGATGGGATCATAGTATTCTGCTTCAAAGAACAGGAGGGAGCCTGGACACATCTCATCGAAAATTTCACCTTAAAGGGAGGGAGATTCTGAATCCTGAGGAAGAGACTCAGCCGTGAAAGGACTGTCTCTCCTTTCCTGTGAGATGTCCTCCTATGGCCCTGACCGTTTCTCGTATGTCACTGTCTGAACACATCGTTTCCCAAAACATGGCTGTAATCGTTTGCTTCCTGTAAAGCATGGTGGAGGCTGTTGTACTGTTCCCTTTGCCAGACTCCGGCAGAATGGGCATTCATCTCCCGCCTCGAGCGATTTCGTGAGGTTTGAAAATAGGCCTTGTGAAGATGCCCAGATGTGTCTGTAAGCAAAAGCCCCAGTGAGGAATAAAGGCAAAGGAAATAACACAGATAGCAAAGGCAGATTGCACAGGCTTTCATAGACGTTCAGTTGGTGGTTTTTAGGCTCCATTATGTTCAACCACACGAGCTGACTGCTACACAGAGAAATCACTGCATGTGTTCGTTGTTGCGGCAACTCGCTCAGAAGGGACAGTGAATGTGCACGTGTGTGAGAGGAGAGTTAGTGATGACTCGCACCCTTGGGAGGCTGAGCAGGTAACAGTCACGTGGGTTATGTATGTGCCTCGTGTAGCTCTCATGGGCTACAAATGCTGACTCTTGTGCATTCCCTAGCACCTACATGAGACGTACTGTGTCATCATTTGCCCAGTGGAGGGATGGGGCAGTCTTGAAGAGGCGAGTGACTTGCCCAAGGTCACATAACAGAAAGGAACAGCATGGCGCTGACCTGAGCCAGGACTGTAACCGCTGCAGCATGCCGCTGCTGCTTTCCCTGAGTGGGTGGGGTATGGCAGAACCTAGCTGGAGGGGCCAGTTTGGACAGGGAGGAATACCCGGTGGGGAGGCTCTTGCTCATCTTAGCTATTTGACTTTGGGAAGTTGCTTTGTCTTTGGAGCCTGCACTTAGTTTGTGTCTTTTGGTCACAAAATTAAGGTGGTACGAGACTTGTTAGGGTTCACAAGGCTGCTCTGTCTAACTGTTCATTCTCCTGCCTGTTACTGTGCTGGCTGGGCACCTGTGCCACAGGATGGCTGTTAACAATTCCCATGAGTCAGGAGAATGAAGCATGGGTCTGAGTATCACAGTAGTGAAGGAGGAAAACAAGCAATGAAGATGTGCTTGAGAGAAGAAAGAACTAAGATTCCATGTCGAGATGATTCCAAATTGGGTAGCCTTAGGAGACGGAGAGGAGCTGGACCTCTCAGGACAGGGGAGAGTGGTCAGGCTCATGTGTGTTGCGTTGAAGATGTTGAAAGGTGAGTGATCCATGGCGGCCTTGCTTCCAGGCTATAGCTTTGGGGGAAGAATACCATAGTGATGAGAGTTTGGGCTTTGGAATCGGTATGACCCCAGGCAAGTTGCTCAGCCCTGGACCCCAAGTCTTCAGGTATGGTATAGGGGTCAGAGCAAAGTCTTTCTCACAGTTTCTGTGATGCTGTGATGGAAAGGAACACGACTCAGCATCCACTGAGGCCATGGGACAGAAGCCAGCCACAAGGGTCAGGAGGAGAAAGTCCTGAGCAGAAAGGTTTGAAGGATGTGCAGCACAGCACAGCAGGGCAGGTTCCATATTGTTCACTGCACGCTGCCATGTTTGGGGAGCAGAGGTGTCAAAGCTTTGTGAGGTTGCAGCACAGCCCCACTTAGCAGCGGTTCCAGGAGCCCAGCTCCTCTTTAGTAAAAGGATGCATTTGTCTTATTGTTAGCTGCCTCTTACAAACCTGCTTCACTCTCAAAGTTCATGCTCCAACCCTGTGAACTCCAATTATTAATGGCTTCATCAGAGGCTCTCCAGCTATTTCTGCCTTTTGAATAGGCTGCCCAGGATCCGGTGTCTGCCTGAGCTCTAAGAAGTCACCTTGTATCTGAGAAAGCTGAGGAGTAGCTTAAGCCCTGTCTGTCTTAGGGCAGGCCTGAGGAACTGTTGGTGAGGGGTGGTGAAGTTGACCTTCCTGACACAAAAGGGTTTGTTAGCCGGTGGAAGCAGCAAGGAACCCAATGCATGAAAGTGTCCCTGCACAGAACTGAGATTTGGTCCTGCCTGATATGCCATCTCTCACAGCTGACAAGAATGAGGGGACAGAAAACAGAGGTGTGTGTGTGTGTATGTGTGTGTGTGTGACATACCCAGCTTCTGAGACATCCAAGGAACACCTCAGAGTCCTTCCCTATGTGGAGATGCCTTTACCTCAAGAGTAACTGAAACTCTTCAACTTTGTTTTTCTAGGCCACTCTTCTCCCCAAATTCAATATTCTCCCCCTTTTCGTTCCGATTTAAGTGGTTATGGCTGGCAACACTGGAGGTAGTAAAAGAAATTCTGACACCCATTGAAGAATGCGGCGAAGCTGGTCTGAAAAGAGATGTCGGGGTTTGTAGGAATTCATTCCGGCCTCTGATTTGTGAACTCTGAGCAGGCTGCGAGCTGCTGTAGATTTTGGATTCCTGTGGCAGGCCAGCTGGGTGTCTTGGACAGAGCACAAGATGTCCTGGGGACATCCCTTCCCAGTTCTCTGTGGGGAGTTGCTGGGGCCACAGGCTATCCCTGTTCACTGATATCACACCACACCTCTGCTTAATGTTCTCTCACTTCCCAGTCTGCCACTGTCCTGCAGCGATGGACTTGGTGCAGGGAGCCGATAGCAACACAACACGCATGGACTACTGACTGATGATCAACAGCCGAGATTTATTAGGGTCAACAGACTATACACTGAGGGTCCTATAGGATTAGGGTGGAGGTATTTAGCTCATCAGCAAATCCATCAGCTGTTTCTATGCTTTTGTTTGGAAGTCCTTTGGTCTTGTATATTGCACCAAGTGTTATCATACACATACTGTCACTCAACTGTTCTTGTACAAATGATATCCCATCAAGTATACAAAAGGTAGTCATTCGGTTGTTCTCATGCAAAGCATATCCAATCAGTCATACAAAAGGCACCCATTCAGTTGTTTATCATACAAATATTGTCCAATCAACTGTAAACCTGTACTCGCTGACCTTGTAGGGTCACAATGTCCTCCTACACCAGTCAGCTCACCGAGCCCCTGGCACCTATTCCAAAGACTTTTTCTACAAATGTCCCTCATGGCATACACAGCCAACCCTGCAGCCTTGCTGCCAATCAATTCCTTCTCATCTTTAAGTGGCTTCACCTGATGGTGTGTCATCTGTCCTAGGCACCTGCGCTGAATCCCCTTCCAAGGGGAGGTCTGTCCTGCTGGTCTCCCTTCTGTACCTTCTTCAGTGCCTGGGCTTCCTCTCCGTCTGTAATGATGTGTGAGCTTCTTTTGTTTGGGGTTGGTTGCATGC